CCTCCTGCCTACCCTGTCACAGACTGTTTCCCCTGTGCTATGCTCCTCCTCCTGCCTACCCTGTCACAGACTGTTTCCCCTGTGCTATGCTCCTCTGCCAGTGCCATCCTGCTTTGGAGTCCGCCTACTACAGGCCAAAGCCTTACAAAGTGTGAGCTAAACTAAACCTTTCTTCAACTTGTGAGTGTGAGGTATTTTGTCCTAGCATCAAAAGAGTAACTAAGACACGCAGCTTTATATATTATTTCAAAAATAGGAGTGTAATAATAATACTTATACTGTTATGGTGAGGCTTATCTATTTAAACCACCTATAGTCTGTTTGTCTTAGTTATTTTCTTGTTGCTGAGACAAAAATATCAAACATCCAAAGTTAAAGGAGGAAAGGTTTATTTAGCTCATGATTTGTAGAGGTTTCAGTTCATAGATGGCTGGCTCCAAGGCAGGCTGTCACATGGCAGAGGGGCATTGCAGAGGAGAAAGAGTTCATGGAGGGCAGAAGGCAGCAAAGCAGCAAAGTAGTGAGGAAGCAGCAAGCAGCTGCAGCAGCCTCTTTGTGTCTCTTGTATTTCCATCCTGGCTCCCTGCCCTTAGGGTGGGAAGCACTCATACCCAGGGAGGTCCTTCCTTCTACCCACTCCCAGAATTATGCCAAACCATCAGTGGGCTAACGGAGTAATCACACACCCTTATCCCAGCATCACACACCCTAGATCCAGCTACCTCTGAGAACCCCACCTGTAACCACATGAGGTTTTAGGGGACATTAGATATCAGCAGTATCACTGCTGATGCCCAGTAAATGTTTGTTCTTTTTTTTTTTTTTTTCCTTCATTGTCCTTCCATAGTTCATCATGCTGTCATGGCTGCTGAGAGCACTGGTTGTCAATGTAGTAAAATGTGTCACTTTCTTTTATTATTTGATTATTTATACCAGTTCTTTTTGATCTGGTTTTAAAATGTTTTTACTTTATTATGGTAAAACATTTGACATGAAATCTACCCTTTTAGTACATTTTTAAACTATACACCATTGTATCATGAACTATAGGAACAATGTTTTATGGCTGATTTCTAGAATTTCTTTACCTTACGTAACTAATTCTTTATGCCCATTGATATGTAACTTTCCATTTGCCTTCCCTACACCTTCTGGCAACCACAATTACATCTTCTGGGTCGATGAATTTGACTATTTTAGAACGCTTTTATAAATGGAATCATATAGTACTGCTCCTTCAGTGACTGGCTTAATTTGCTTAACACAATGCCCTCCAGGTTCACCTATGTTGTTACATATGGCAGGATTTCTTCCTTTTTATTTTGTTTTTTAATTAATTAATTA